ACAGGACACCAGAGGCGAATTTACAGGAAGAGATCGCCACAGCAGCGACGATGACGATGAAGACTCCCCTGGAGGAGGAGCCGGCGGAGCAGGAGGAAGCAGCAGAGGCGCAGCACCGCCACCGCCACCTGAACCAGAGAGTGATGACGATGACGTACAGGAGGTCATCCCCCAGCACCACCACGACAGCACCGTCTTAGGACTATAACTGCTGGGACTCCACACCACCACGTCAACAGCGCCACGCGTCATCGAGCCAAAGAGCCCGCGACAAGGGTTGACGGGTCCCCACAGCAAGGAGTGGCGTGAGGTGATCGACCAAGAAATTCAAGCTCTCGAACCCCGCGACACCTGGGTGCTCGTCGATCGCACCGCAATCAAAGGGAGAAGAATCCTCTTCCGCGTGAAGACTGCAGCGGACGGCACGATCGAACGCTTCAAGGAGCGATGTGTCGTACGCGGCTATGATCAGAGGCACGGCATCGACTTTGTTAGAGAAGTAGGTAGAGTTAGGTGGGCTTGGGAGCCATAGCTTAGGAGCCTTGGTAGTTAAGTTCGAGGGTGAGGAGAGTGTCGAGAAAGTTGTGAAGGGGAATGAGGGTTTCACTATAGGTTCAAGGGTACAAATATGAAAGAAGTGAAGCAAGGTGCACCACCTAACAAACAAGGTAACTACACTAAGTCTACATTGCAGGCAGTTATAAAGTGATGTATACAATAACATTCTGACAGACTTCGACCAAACATTCGCGCGGGTGAGCCGTCACACCTCTGTCAGAATTCTGCTCGCCATTGCTGCCGCAAGAGACCTGCTGCTCCGACAAATCGACGTGAAGAACGCATTCCTCTATGCGTTGGTGGATGTAGTAATCTACATGGAGCAGCCGCACACATGCGGTGAAGGGGACTCACGTGTGTGCCAGCTGCGGAAATCCCTCTACGGGATCAAACAGGCGCCCAGGCTCTGGCAGCAGTACCTGCACAACATTCTGCTCGAGATAGGCTTCAAACAAGTGCCTCACGATCCCGGAATGTACCGCCGAGATTTTCGCGGGAACTACATACTGCTCACTGTCTACGTCGACGACCTACTCTATACATGGTCAAGCAACGAGCTGCTTGAACAAGTCGAAAAAAAACTTGGCGGGGCGCGTCGACATCACCTGCAACCATGACGTGAAGCATTTTCTCGGCCTCAACATCTCCTACTCGCCAGAAGCAATTCACCTCTCAGCAACCAAGTATGCAGAAGAACTTGGTAAACGCTTCAACATTGTGCTTGCACCGCTCTCCACTCCTTACCGCACTCCCGGACCGAACCACAAGCCCGACAACAAAACCATATCCCCTGCTGGACTTCAGACTTACCAGCAGCAGCTAGGATGCCTTCTCTTCGCCTCTGTCACCTGCAGGCCTGATCTCTCGCACATCGCGAGCCAACTGGCTCAGTACTCCCGCAAACCGACGGCTGAGAATCTCCTAGATCTTCAGCGCGCTCTGCAATTCTTCATCTCCACGCCGAACATTGGGCTCTGCTACTCCACAGTTACCACATCGTCCTTCAGCCTCACCGGCTACGTGGACGCCGATCACGCCGCTGACCTAGACAATCGACGGTCCAGAACTGGGTTCCTGTTCCGACTCAAACCTATGGGGCCCATCTTCTGGAATTCACAGAAGCAGGATCTGGTTGCCTTGTCATCGGCGGAAGCTGAGTTCATTGCCGCGACAGGAGCAGTTCGCGAAGGGCTTTACCTACAGGAGCTCCTAGAGGAGGCGAAAATACCAACCTCGCCCACTTTTCGCCTGGACTGCGACAACCAGAGCGCGATCAGAATCGCGAACAAACCAGGGTTCGTCAACCGCACCAAACGCATTGCACTGCGGTACTTCTTCGTCAAGGACGAATTTGACAAGGGCAAGGTTGACCTGACCTACTGCCCGACGGGTGACATGGCAGCCGACTTCCTCACGAAGCGGCTGTCACGTCAGCAGTACCAGCACTGCTCCGAACTCAGCGGAGTAGTCAAGCGGGTCAAGACCTGCTACGGCTAGGAGTGAAGGGGGGTGTTACGAACAGAAATTTAAGAAAGAATACTGTGCACTCCTGACAGCAGCAATCGAGTCATACAGTACCGAGGCTGAAGACGAAGAGGCGGAATGACGCGAAGGGTCGCGCACGGTTACGGAGCATCTGGACCGTCAGGGCAAACAGCATCAGGCAGCAGCAGTGGCGAGGATTCTGCCTAGGCAGTCAGTAACAGTCTGGAGTCGCACGGTTGAGTTTCGCTGCAATGAGGGAATGTACCCCTTAGCGTACATGGCTAGCCTAGGTCGATTCGTATTCCCCTGTACTCTTATTTATACGTTTGTATTTGCATGTTTTAATTTATCTCAGTCATTTACATTGACTCTGATCTGAGGTCAAGGGCCCACCACTACCACACGACCTGCGAACCTTCCTGAGGAGATCCGAGCGGCGATCTATCTTTACGATCGCAGCAGCAAGCAACGCCACGAATACAAACGCCCTCTTCTTGCTCCTCTCTTCTCATCCTCTACAGCCACCTTATCTTCAACAACACAACACAACCCCCTTGCACTGCATTGTATCTCCCCATTGCACCAGCATGGTTTCTCCGTATTGACAAGGCTACCTGGAGCTTCTGACAGGCCTTCGCCAAGGCTCCTGTGTCTGATTCGTGACAACCCATTGATTGAAGCCTCGATGGACAATTTTTTCAAATGCCTCAGATTAACAATCCTGGCAAGGAATTGCTTGCAACTTTCCGTTGTGTTACATCATACATGAACCAATGAAATGGTATTAGCCCTGTAATACTTCAAGCATCTGCCAATCAGTCTGAAAGCTGCTACAACAGAGGGGTCATGGATTTATGATGCAGGCCCTCATGCGGACCACCAGAATACAATTCCCCCTGAGAACCCATAAGGAGCCCCATGCTCTTTCTGTTGTGGTTTGTCTGGCAGATCAGCTCCCATATTCGTTCCCTCTGAGAGAGACACTCCTACTACACGGTGCACCTTTTGAGAGTTGCAAAAATGATTCTTATACTGTGTGTGGCATGTCAATCACTCCAATATATGCTGCCTCCTCTGAGAATCAGTCCTGCACCGAGCACCTTTTGAGAATCTCAAAACTCATTCACATACGGTACCCATGCAGGTCTGTGTGTCAATTACTCCAACACACGCTGCCTTTCTCGAGAATCACGCCCGCACGGAGCAAGGCGCTTCGATCCCTTGCCTCAACCTTGCTTGCCTCCACATGCAAATGCCGCAACCTCGGGAAGCTTCCCAGCAATTGGCCAACGGCGGCAGCAGTGATGGCACCACATCCAACCATGCTCAACCTGCTTTGTACAATCACACGGCCTGAAAAGCAATTATTGTATTCCACCACTAGTGATTCCAAAATGGGACAAGCTCGGAGCAGCAGCAGCATCTGCTCCTCCTCTGGGCCAGAGCAAGACAGCAACGAGAGTCGCTTCAACCTTCCAAAGACAGCTGCGAGAGAGATGGAGTCAAAGGTCTCAGGCTGGGCACTCGGGCTTGGGGAGGGGAACGAGGAGAAAGATGGGGAGGAGGGTGAACTGAGTGAGGTGAGGCACATGGGAGGGGATGTGGAGGGGAGGTGCCGAGGCAGCCAGGTAGGCCCGGGAGTGGCGGTGAAGTGAAAAGTCTGGAGACATAAGGCCTCCAGGGGAGGACAAATTACTTCCACAGGAGTTCCGGAAACGTTTTTTCTCGTATCAGCAGGTTTCCCTGCCAGGTGAAAGGGTGCGTCTCTGCTTCTGCTTATTGAATCTTGGCCGCCTTTTAACTTGCATCCATCTTCATACCTTCCCTCTCCTTGCATCCCTCTCCCCTGCTCTGATGTTTCAACAACTGCTTCCGCTTGCACCGCCCTTCCTGCTGTCCCATCTGCAGTACCCACACCAGAAACAGCAGCCACATTGGATAAACCACCAGCAACAACAGGAGAACCAGCTGTAGCAGCACCAGCACCACCATCAGTCACAGCAGCTGTATCTGGACCGGCAGCTGTACCCCCAGCATCAGCAGCAGCAGCAGCAGCGGCAGCAGCAACATCATCATCATCATTCTCATCATCATCATCAGCAGCAGCAGCAGCATGAGTGGTAGCCCCAAAAACAGCAGCAGCACCAAGAATCTCATCTGTTGCTGTTGCTCGCCACCAGGCAGCAGCATTACGAGCCATGCGCCAGCGCATGCGTTGAAAGCTCGCAGACGTGTTTCTCCTCTCTTCACCCAGCTGCCGCATTAGCGCCTGCATCACACCCAGCGCCTGCGCACGGGGACTCATGTTCCCCACAGCAGCTTCTCCCTCCCTCTCACCACCACCGTCACCATCACCATCACCATCACCATCACCATCACCATCCCCATCCCCATCCCCATCACTAACATTCACATCCAAAGCATTGTCAAGCAGCACACCATCCATCTCTTCAAGCAGCGCCGCTCCTCCTTCGCCCTCTCCTTCCCGACTAGCCCTCTTCACAAACACGCCAGCAGCTTCGGCAGAAAAAAACGCCTTAATTATAGCATCCTCCCTCTCTGTTGCTGCAACTTGGTCCGCAATTGCCACCCGCACCGACCGACACAAGGCTATAGCTGACATAATGGGGTTGGTTGCTACTTCGATCTTGCTATGTTCACCCCAAGGCATCCGGGCGGTATCGGCATCGAGGGTCGCGCGTCTTATGGATTCGTTGGTTTCTTTCATTAGCTTGACCGTGCAATTGCAGGCCGCAAACAAGTCTGCATGCGCTGCTGCTGCTGCTGTTCGAATGTCTACATACTCATACTCTCTCCTCCCTTTGTTCCTCGAGCCGACTATTGTTGGTGCTGCTGCAGCTGCAGCAACAGTTTCTTCTGCTCCCTCTCCTGCTGAAGTGGCTGCATCAGCAAAATTCGTAATTTCTACCATCCCCTCTCTCCTACTTTCCTCCATATCACCCTCCTCCCCACCCTCTCCACCCTCCTCTGCACATTCCACTCCCACTCCCCCTTCTCCTCCTCCCCTCCGCACCACCACCACCAGCATACTCACCAAACTCTCTATAGACAACTGCTGAGTCACCCCCGAAGATGCAGCTTCCCCCAAATCCACCTCTCCCACACTTCCTCCCCCAGTCAACAAATCCTCCTCCCAATCCCAAGCCATTCAATCCATTTCCTCCTTAGCCTCATCCTCACAGTCCCTAACGCTGAGACCCGACGCTATCTCCCACCTGCCTGTTATCATCAAAGAGTGAAGGCCACTGCAGCGAGCAAGCATGCCAGGGCGGAAGGAGGCCAACCCAGAGAAGGAAAGCGTGTGAAGGTGTGGGGGAGGGGCGTGAAACAGAGACCAGAGGCCTTGTGCGCTGAAGAGATGGTACGTGGTGGTGTGCAGGGAGAGGGAGGAGAGAGCCGGGTTGGAGTGAGCGAGGGCGGCGAGGGAGTGACTGGAGATTAATGGGCTGTTCATTATGCCGAGTTCGGAGAGTGTGTGGATGGAGCGAGAGAGTGTGTGCATCTCACAGGGGTCGATGCTGCAGGAGCGGAGATCCAGGAAAGAGAGGGAGGGGAAGGAGGCGAGGGGTGCAAGGCAGGCTGTTAGTTGGGCTGATTCGAGGTTGACGGTTTTGAGGGAGGTGCGGACAGACGAGGAGGGGGAGGCGAGAGAGGAGATGGTGGAGGGGTGGGGTTTCCAGAGAGTGAGGGAGGTGAGGGAGGAGCAGCGGGGAAGGGCGTCGAGAGGAGGGACAGGGAGGAGGAGGGAGAGGGAGTGGAGAGCGGGGAAGGCGTCGAATGGAGGGACGGAGGTGTGGTTGTTGTCATGCCTGTTGATCATGCAACGATCCCATGGGGAGTCGAAAGAGAGCGACGTCAAGAGGCTGATGGGGGGAATGAGGGGAAGAGACGGGGGGGATGGGAGTGGGGGATGCGGAACAGGGGAAAGGGAGACGAACCGGAAAGGCAAAATGAGCGCCGGGTTTGGGGTGAGAGAGTCTTTTATTGAGGCGCCTCAAAACCAGACGGACCAGAAAAGGTGCAATAAAAGCTTGGGTGAACCGGGGTTGGAGTGAGAGGGATTGCGCAGCTCCAGAGGGGGGACGTAGGGGGGAGAGGGGAAAAGAGCAGGGGGGAATGGGAGAGAGAGACGGGGGCTCGCGCCAGCGAGAGAGAGGAAGGCCCTAGCACTCAGCCCTCTTCCTCTTCCCTCTGCCCTCTTCGTCTGAGCCTATTTAAGGCCCCTCTGTGCCTTCTCTGCCTCATTATTTCGTGTGTGCTTCATTTTCGGCGGCTTGCGCCGGCGGCCTTCGGCCGCGCGCTCCTGGTGGCAAGACAACAAACGAAGGATCGGCTTATAAAGAAGCGCACACACAATCCAAGCAAGGGAGAAGGGCAACAACAAGAGGAGAAGGCATGCAGTACTACACGCGGCGGAAGCCTACATCGTGTACGGCTCCGCCCCCTCCATCTCTAGCATCGAGCGCATGCACGCCGATACCGCGAGGAGGAGCTGCGCCGACGAGTGAAGGGTCTCCACCGGCGTCCCAAAACTCGCAGCCGCAACAAGATCCGCCACGTGGCGGGGGAAGGTACGCGCTAAGGGCGCTACCCCCGCGGGCGCTTCCGACACGGGCTCCAAAGGCTGGACGAGGGATTCTGCCCAAGACGCGCAGGATCCTCGGGATCCTGGAGCGTAACTGCCCGGAGAGTTTCGCATGGCCCCACACACCGCCATCTGCAAGCTCGCCACCCCCTCGCACGCCTCCGCCAGATTCAGCATCCGGCACATGGTCAGCATGGGGTCTCTCCCCGCGCGAGTGGGAGGAGGTGCAATCGGATCTTCGCGCGGAAACGCCGCCGGCCGGCCCAGGCCTCGGCCAAATGAGATCTGCTGAGTGTGGAAGCCCGGGGCCTGCCGAGCGGTGCGGAACGGGGCCCTCGCCTCCCGCGCGGGCTGATAGTCGCGCAGGGTCGGCGCGCGTAGCGGGGCCGCCAGGCCAGGGTCCGAGGCGAGGGGAGGGCCATTGGTTACGGCAATGTGCACGTGCGTCCGCTCCCCGCTCGCCCGCGCCTGACGCACCGCCGCCGCCATCACATTCACGGCCTGATCCACGGCTGGCCGCCAGAACCAGCCGAGTGTGGACGCGGCGGGGATTGTTCGCGGCGCCCAGATTCCCAGCGACGTCCAGGCGATCCCCTGCCCCGCCTCGCCGGAGATCGCCGCGGAGAGCGCTGATCGGGGGATCGCGCTCGCGGCGACCGCGGCGCTGCTCGACCACGGGGGGATTGGCGCCGAGGTGAGCGAGGACGCGCAGGGGACCGCTGATCGCCCTCCCTGCGTTGATGAGGGTCGCGAGGCTCAGGAGACGGGCGGCGAGGAGAGGGCGGCGAGGCGAGGCGCAGGCTCCGGCAGCGCGCTCTCCGCAGAACCCTCCAGCTCCGGATCCCGTCTCGCGGACGGGTCCATCACCCCCGACAATACCGCAGCCGACGCCAGCGCGCCGACAAAGTGAGGACGAGGCGGACGCCGCACCTCAGACGGGGCGCGCGGGAGCTGCGGGAGGAAGAGCAACGCGGGGAATCCGCGTGGGACGCGGCAGCAGCCGCCGCGGACGACGTGGGAACGGGAGAGGACGAAGAGGTGGTGGAACACGCGGTTCAAACCGGCGCCGCACCGGCGCAAGCGGCTACGCGAGAACAGCGGAGAGGCTGATGCGGGAAGGCGTGGAAGGCGGCGAGGAGGCGCCTAGCGAGGAAGCAGAGGAGGAAATTGAGAATGACGAGAGTGACGGGGGTGACCCCGGTTTTAACCCTGAAACGGAGGGAGGTTTGGATGCGGAAACTGAAGAAGAGGAGGAGTTCTTGGTTCGTGGGGCCGAGTTTCCGGACCAACAAATTGGAGCCGCGTCTGCAACTCGAACGCCTGCCAGGAATCGAAATGCGGGGGGAAATCAAGCATGGAGGGGAAATCAAGCATGGAGGGGAAATCAAGCATGGAGGGGAAATCAAGCATGGAGGGGAAATCAAGCATGGAGGGGAAATCAAGCATGGAGGGGAAATCAAGCATGGAGGGGAAATCAAGCATGGAGGGGAAATCAAGCATGGAGGGGAAATCAAGCATGGAGGGGAAATCAAGCATGGAGGGGAAATCAAGCATGGAGGGGAAATCAAGCATGGAGGGGAAATCAAGCATGGAGGGGAAATCAAGCATGGAGGGGAAATCAAGCATGGAGGGGAAATCAAGCATGGAGGGGAAATCAAGCATGGAGGGGAAATCAAGCATGGAGGGGAAATCAAGCATGGAGGGGAAATCAAGCATGGAGGGGAAATCAAGCATGGAGGGGAAATCAAGCATGGAGGGGAAATCAAGCATGGAGGGGAAATCAAGCATGGAGGGGAAATCAAGCATGGAGGGGAAATCAAGCATGGAGGGGAAATCAAGCATGGAGGGGAAATCAAGCATGGAGGGGAAATCAAGCATGGAGGGGAAATCAAGCATGGAGGGGAAATCAAGCATGGAGGGGAAATCAAGCATGGAGGGGAAATCAAGCATGGAGGGGAAATCAAGCATGGAGGGGAAATCAAGCATGGAGGGGAAATCAAGCATGGAGGGGAAATCAAGCATGGAGGGGAAATCAAGCATGGAGGGGAAATCAAGCATGGAGGGGAAATCAAGCATGGAGGGGAAATCAAGCATGGAGGGGAAATCAAGCATGGAGGGGAAATCAAGCATGGAGGGGAAATCAAGCATGGAGGGGAAATCAAGCATGGAGGGGAAATCAAGCATGGAGGGGAAATCAAGCATGGAGGGGAAATCAAGCATGGAGGGGAAATCAAGCATGGAGGGGAAATCAAGCATGGAGGGGAAATCAAGCATGGAGGGGAAATCAAGCATGGAGGGGAAATCAAGCATGGAGGGGAAATCAAGCATGGAGGGGAAATCAAGCATGGAGGGGAAATCAAGCCGCGGCAGCAATCACATTTGACTCTGCTGCAGCCAATGGGAACACTGCAACCCCAACCCCAACCCCACCCATGATCCACCCAGGCGACCTGGCGAAACGCCTGGACCTTTTCGCGCAGGTCGCAGGCTGGGACCTTGACCCACTGCGCGACAGTCGCCAGCCGCCCCTCGCCCGTCACCCGCCAAAAGACCTTCGCGAATCGTTCGCAGTCTGACTTCTTACCCCACTCCTCCACCTGGCAGCCAATCCCAACTCGGCCGCAGGGTGGAGGTTACTGACTTTCCTACCGCGAATTCTCCTCCGCACCTCGTCAGCTCGCAAACCTGACTGGAGCGCGATGATGAACCGCCTCCTCCGTTTTCGCCAGGGATTCTGGTCTGGCCTGTATGACGAGGCGGTGGAAGCAATCTCCCTCCCAGCCCAGCCACGTCACGTACCTGACACGCAGGGCATCCTTGCCAGAGCGGAGGGACTGGCCAAGCGTGGCAACCTCGCCAAGTCACTCCAGTCCCTCCAAGCCACCCCGGTCTCACCTGCCTCCCCCGAAGTGTACGCGGCGTTAGCAGCAAGACACCCGCAAGCACTCCAGTCCCTACCTGAGTGGATACGCACCTTCTCCCCCGAGCACACCCCTGCGATTGAGCCACGCGACTTCAGGCGCATCATCGCCAAGCTCCCCAATGGGGTGGGAGCAGGGCCCTCAGGAACTACCTTCGAGCACATTCGGGATGCCGCGCTTGGAAATCCCGACATCTTTGCTCACCTTCTCGCACTCACCAATACCGCTATAGCTGGGAAACTTAGTAGCGAGGCCACCGAGCTCCTCACTGCCTCACGCCTCATAGCCTTCACTAAGCCGCAGGGGGGAACCCGACCGATAGCCGTGGGCGAATGCCTTCTACGCATCGTCGCCAAAGCAGCACTGTTCCTGAATGGGGTTGCGGCACGAGCACACTTCGCGCCTCTTCAATTCGGGGTGGAAAGGGCGGCGGTATTCGAGGGGCTCAAGAACGAGGCCCTAGAAAGCCTACTGCCCCTTGTCCGCCTCTCCTACGGAACTCCATCAGCGCTCCACCTCGACCACGAATTCGGCGTGGCCCCAATGCTAAGCGCTAGAGGCGTCCGCCAGGGAGACCCCCTTGGCCCCTTGCTCTTCGCGGCAAGCATCCACCCTTGCATAACCGCAACAGCTTCAGCTCACCCACGGGTCGTCATTCTCGCCTACGCCGACGACATAACGCTGCTGGGCGAGGCCGAAGCATGCACCGCGGCATTCACGCACCTTACCGCCGCGTTGCTCCGCATAGGCCTCGTACACAACTTGGGGAAATGCGAAGCTTGGTCTGCAGCTGCCATAGACCCCGCCTCTCTCCCACCGAGCTTCCCCATTGCAGCAGACGGACTGCGGGTATTGGGAAGTCCAATCGGGACCTCCGCTGGTTGCGCCTCTAGAGTGAGGGAAAGACTAGCGGCAGCAGCAGAACCCTTGCCGCTCCTGGCCCAGATGGACCCCCAATTGTGCCTGCTCTTACTCACACGCTGTGTGGGCCAGCGAGCCTCCTTCCTGGCCAGGACCACTCCGCTAGAGGTACTACCTGAGGAGGAATGGGCGGCATGGGGGGAGCAATTGCTACATACCTTCCTGGACGCGGCCCATATTATGCTACCAAGGAGTGACGCGGAGCAGAGGAGAATCTGGAGGCAGGCGGCGCTACCTGTATCACTGGGGGGGCTCGGCATTACAAATCCCGCAGTTGAAGGAGTTACGCTTACCTTGCGTCGGTGGTGGGCACCTCCCACCTCCTGCACTCCCTGGCCGAAGCACTTCACCCTGATATAGCAGCTCTGCTCCCCCTAATGGACCCCACCGCCGGCTCCGCGCACGCCCTGCCTGCACGCCTCGCAGCAGCGGAAGCAGCCCTCCCCCCCGAAGCTCTAGAAGCCCTTCAGGCCGGGAAAGCAGACCCTCAGGGCCTCAAGCTGCAGCAGTCTCTAGCGCTGGCGGTTCAGACGCGCCGCTTCCTGAGGGTCATGAACGAGGCAAGGCGTATGCGCCCCAACCCCCTCTCTGGCCATGCCCAGCGAATGCAGTCGGTGCTCGGCCCTGGCGCAGGAGATTGGCTGCTGGCGCTACCCATCATTCCCTCGCTCAGGATGGGACCCTCCCAGCTCTCCTCCGCTGCTGCCTTCCGCCTGGGCCTCCCCCTACCTGTCCCCAGGCGCTGTGACTGCCGTTACCGCACCAAATTCCCAGACGACCGCCTCCCAAACCATCTCATGCGCTGCGAGAAAGGGGGGGGGAGGATTGCAACTCACCATGCACTCCGGGATGAGATTGCTCTGATAGCGGCAGAAGCGGGCTTCACGGTGCACAAGGAAACGTACGTGTACTCTCTCGTTGAAAACCTTAAGGCGGATGTTACAATCCGTCATCCCCTGACGGGAGAAGTATGGATGTGTGACGTGACAGTAACGGACCCCGTGTCTCACCAAGATGAGCACTGCAATAGGGCCCCCGGGTGGGCGGCTAGGGCGGCTGCAGACAGGAAGGAGCAGAAATACGCGCGCCGGAATGCGTGGGTGGGCTTCCATGCCCTGGCGGTAGAGACATACGGGTACCCCTCGCCCGGGGTGATGGCGATCTTGCGGCAATGTGCGGAGCTGGCGGCCAAGTTGAGATTCAACGCTGCCCCTACCTCCTACGAGGCCGCCAAGCTGCTGACGGAATACCGCCAGCGCTGGAGCGTGTGCCTCCAAAGAGCACAGGCCAACGCCCTCCGCTGCAAGACCAACGAGGCAATTGGGGGATAAGTGTTAGTTAGGAAACTCGTTTGATATGCTTGTGTTTGCTTCTTCCCGTGTATCACCCATCAATCAATACAAGGCCCATTCGAGACGGGGGGAGAGGCGAGAGAGCTTGGGGGAGGGAGGAGAACAGGGAAAGAGAGGGAGAGAGAAAGGTGCAGTGCTGGAGAGAGGAGGGAATGAGGGGAAGGGCGCAGGGAAAAGAGAAATTGGCAAGGATGCAGGAGAGGGGGGGAAGAGTGCAAAAAAAAGGAGAAGAGCGCAGGGGAATGGAGGAAGACTGCAGGGGAAGGGGGGGATAGATCAAGAAACGAGTGGGAGAGGGAAGAAAAGGGAAGGAGAGGGGGCAAAGAACTGGCAAGACAGGGAAGAGCAGATGGTGAGGCGGAGACAACAGGGCGAAGGACAGAGGGGGGACGCACAAGAGGAAAGGGGGGAGAGGACAGGAGGAAGAAGCGGAGAGCGTTGGGGGGAGATAGGGGGACCACAGGGGAATGAGGCGAGAGCGTACGGGAAAGAGGGAAGAGCGTAGGGGAAAGAAAGGAGAGCGTAGAGGAAAGAGGGGGGATGCGTAGGGGAGAAGCATAGGGAGAGAGGGGAGAGCGTAGGGGAAAGGGGAGAGCGTAGGGGGGAGAGGGGAGAGCGTAGGGGGGAGAGGAGAGAGCGTAGGGGGAAGAGGAGAGAGCGTAGGAAGGGGCGGGGAGGGCGTAGGATGGAAAGGGAGAGCGTAGGGAAGAGTGCATGAGGAATAGGAGAGAGAGCGGGGGAAAGATGGAAAAGGAGAAGGGGGGTGCATGAGGAAAGGTGGGGAAAGAGCAGTGGGAAGAGAGGGAGCGGGCAAGGGGGAGATTGAGAAAAGACAGGGACAAGAGGGGGAGGGAGAGGGGGAGGTGAGGGGGGGCGGAAATAGAGAGAAGGCAGCGAGAAGAAGGGGAAAGAGCGAGGAGGGAAGAGTGGGCAAGATGAAGCGAGCAGGACAATGGGGGAAGGGGGAGGAAGGGGGAACGCGGGGAAGAAGGGGTTTGTATAACGCCCAGGCGATAAAGATTGGGTCCTACTATAAGTCAAGGGCATTGCTCGGCAAGCTTACCACTGCAACGAGATTACTTTTGAGTTGACTCACAAGGGGGAAAGGAGGGTTGAGGGTGGGGGTGGGAAGGGGAAGGCGGGGGTTGGGGCCAATAGCGAGTTGTCGTGTACAACTCACGGGCCAGTAGCGGGTTGGGACCAATAGTACAACTCACGGGCATTGCTTCGCGAGCTTCGCCAATGCAGCATCGATCAGGAAAAAACTCGTCCATATCCCCATCACACTCAACCGCTCCAGTTTCGGGCACGCCGCGCCAACTCCTTCCAGCAGCTCCGTTCCCGCCGGATTCGAACGAACCTCCACGGTCAGCTCACGAATATGGAATACCCTCGAAAATCTATCCAGATTATTGGACCACCCGTTTCTGTTGGGATTCTGAGAGGGTGAGACAAACTTAAGGTGGAGCGAGTGGGGCGTGCGGCGGGAGAGGCGGCGGAGGCGGGAGCAGGAGAGCGCGACGCTGCAGCGATCGTGCGAGCGATCCAGACGGGAGAGAATTAGGAATAGGAGCTCGTCGGGGAGAGAAAGCAGACGGAATTCGTGCGGATCATCCTCGGGAGATGATATTTTCCGCGAGGCTTTCATAGTCACGAATTGGCACGAGGAGCAGTTAGGGTTACCACGGTGATAGCGAAGGCAAGCGTGCTTGCCTGGTAACAGGTGCTGCGCGAGTTGACGTGGAAAGAAAAATGGAATTAACAAACTGGCAAAGATACACGCCGACTATAATACGCAGACACCATCTAGAGCCACTCCAACAGAGAGAGAGGTGGTATGTCCTGTTAGACCGCGAGAACCACTTGACGTAGTGTCGGCTCGCTTTTGATGCATCCACATGGCAACAGACCCCTCTAATGCAACCACAAGGACGCGTCAACTCCGGCAAATCTCGGCGATCGATACTGCGCAGGATCGAATTTTGACGGGGTTAGAAGAGGTTGTATCACATGTTGGATGAAACTGTGGGATTATAGTGCGGTGGCGGATCGATATGCACGATCGATCGCCGATTCTAGCAGGAGTTGACGCGTCCTAACTGATAGATTCCCTTCATCCAAGCAGGCAAGTTCTGTCCCCGTTATTACCTATGCATGGTACGTCGCGTCGCCTTCGAAATTGTCGAATTGAGTTGCATGATGGGAACTCATCAAGACAGGCCTCGTTTCCGCGTACAGTAATACAAGAGTAGTTTCCATTGGTTTATGCCGAATACTTTTTTGGCATGACAAAGGTGACCACAAAGGAACATGAACTAGTGGTGTTAGTTACGGTACCTACCATATGTACTTGCTGACTATGCGCACTTGACACAAGAGGGTGCAAGAAGCAACTCTTGTTACCCGATCCCTTAGGGCAGATGTGTTGTGTAACGTGCGTGGTTGCATGTTCTGCGTGTCGCGTCCGCAATACGGTAGCTGCTTCTTGTGATGGTATGTAGTTGAGGATTTACCCTAGATCCAGTATTGAGGAAAAAAGGAGAGAACCGTGTGGTCGACCGATGGGTCAGTGCTGTAGAAGCGTGGGCTGCACTGTAACTATGCATCCTGTGAAGTACCTTAGCTATACATATAAGGAAATTTCCTTTTCCTTACTTCGCGCCCCTGCTTACCGCGTACATGGCCATTCCCGCCATCGTCACCCACAGTGAAAACGTTACCCGCTCGCAGCACTCACCTCGGCCACGACTCCCGCCACTGTTCGCGATGTGACCCAACCTAACGGTTCGGTTGGTAACCCGCGCTCCGGACCTCCGCCTCGACAATTTCCCAAACCTCGGCGCTAGGCCCGTAGCGCACCCCAATTTCCCGCATTACCGTTACCACGCTAGCTTCGCTATATAACTTCGCTCATGCTTTTTCTCTCAACTGTATTGTTTTTGCTCCGATTGTGCAATTCTCGCTCGCTCACTCAATTGCACTCGTAACACTTGGTAATCAGAGCCTACGATCTCTTCTCGGACCGCACCCACACCTTCGCTTCCCCACTATCTCATGTTTTTGGGGGGGGTAGACGTCTCTCAGCGAAACAAGCACCGCCGCTCGTAGTGCTCTCTCGTAAGCACGCACGGCCACGGCAGGGGCTCTCGCTGAGCTTGCCCGACACCCCCGCCATGGCTGAATTCAACATCGCGACACTGATGCAGGAGCAACTCGACCGTCTCGTGCGCCAACTCGAAGACTCGACGCTCGAAATTGCGGCGCTCACGGCGGAACGCGACTCCGCTCGCCAGCAATCAACGGTGAATGCTCCAGCACCTGCACCCGCAAATGCACCTGCGCAATCAGAAGAACCGATCGTCATCTCATCAGGCACACCGACGCAACACGACAGCGTGGGACAACGCTCAGGCGCAGCCAGTGATGGCGCCGCTCAATCAAATGCCTGGCATGGAGAGAAATAGGGCCGCACCAAGCCCGCGTGGGCCTCGTGAAGCTCGTCGGCACGTGGAGTTTGCAGCAACAAGTGGCAGCCACGACATTATGGCACCAATGCCACTCAAGCCACAGCGCCCGCCCTGTTTCGATCCGAGCCAACGTGGAGGTCCGACGGTTCAATCGTGGGTCTTCACGATGAACGTTTTCTTCGACGCGAATTACGTCGAGTCGGACGCAGCGAAGATTCGCTACGCTATTTCGCTGCTGAGGGGCCCCGCCATGGACTGGTGGCGAGTCATCGTGACGTCGCCACGCGCCTACGAGCCACCGTCGCAAGAGGAAGAGCCCACGGGCCCAGCCATCACCTGGAGTTCATTTTGCGAAACCGCCCAGTACAGCACGTGGGATGCGTGGTGCGCAGGGCTTCGGGCGCGCTTCGAGCCGATCGCGGCTTCTATTTCGGCGCGTCAGAGACTGCGTACTTGGCGGCAGCTCGGATCAGTTCAAGACTACACGAGCGGTTTTCTCGCATTATGCGAGCAAGTCGGCTACATGCACGAAGCAGAGCGGGTGGACCGTTACGTCGGAGGGCTGAAGCCGGACATCTCGCACGAAATCATGCTGCGCGGGCTCTCGAATTTTAACGAGATCCTCGCGCTCGCCGAGAAAATCGACATTTTGCGCCGTCCGAGACCGGGGTCCTACTATGGACATCGCCCTCGGGGACCGATCGAGCACGCCACCGTACGCGCCGTTGCGACGAATGCAGCTGCCGCGCCGTTTAAGGGGCGCTGCTTTGCTTGCAACAGGCCGGGCCATCGCAAAAGCGAGTGCCCAGAGGAGCTAAGGCGCCGCGGAGCAGAGCAGGGGAGGGAGTCTCAGAGGCAGGGAAACGCCAGCAGTCAGTAGAAATTGGGCCAACTACTGACGAGACTGCCTGCTCGCCCAACCTCACCGACCCTCACCGAGTCACAGTACCGATTCATGCCATCGATCGGGCTCGGATGAATAATGAGGGTACAGCGACGGATTGCCCAGTACTGATCCACGGGAAAATACAGGGAGCAGCAGTGATGATTTTTATAGACGGAGGGGCAAGTCACAGCTTAGTTAATACCGCGACCACACGGAAGCTGCAACTGGCACTTAGTCGGTGCTTACCGGAGATAGACGCACGCTTAGTTGACGGAACGCCGCTGGCCATACGGGAGAAGGTGGAGAGAGTAAAAGTCCGCTGCGGGGGGAACTTCGGGTTTACACAGGAAATGCTCGCAACGACATTGGATGGGCACGACATTTTACTGGGACGTGATTGGCTGCGACGGTATAACCCACGAATCGACTGGACGACGGGTAGCTGCACTGTGCGAAGTAGCGGTAGCTGGGTCGAATTACCTCGCTGGCAGTCGCCCGAGTCTTCAACGGTCCACGTCAACGCCATCACGATGAAACGGGCTGTCGCAGCTGGAGCTGATGTGTACGCGGTGGATATCGCAGTGGTAGAGGAAGCAGAGCAGCCGAGCGATTTTCAGAAACTGCTGGCAGCAGTACCGCCCGAACTACAGGAACTGTTGAAACAGTACCCAGGGATTTTTCCCGATGACATACCGGAGGGACTGCCACATCAGCGGACACACGATCACCGAATAGAGTTAGAACCCGGGGCACAGCCAACCGTACAGCGACAGTTCAGACTGACACAGCCCGAGCTCGACGAACTGAGGAAGCAGCTAGATTATCTGTTAGAAAAGAAGTTCATCCGACCGAGCTCGTCAGCGTTCGCCGCACCGATACTGTTCACACCGAAAAAGGACGGAGGTTTTTGCATGTGCATCGATTACAGGGCACTGAACATGGTTACAGTCAAGTCGCGATACCCCATTCCCCGCGCCGACGAACTGATAGATCAACTGTGAACAGCACAGGTCTTTTCGAAAATCGACTTACGGGGAGGTTACCACCAGATTAGGGTTGAACCATCAGACTACGCCAAGACAACGTTTAGAACTAGGTACGGGTCCTTCGAGTACACTGTGATGCCTTTCGGGCTGACCAACGCACCGGCGACGTTTCAGATGACCATGAACGAGGCGTTTAGGCCACTCTTAGATAAATGTGTGATAGTTTACCTCGACGACATCCTCGTCTACAGTCGCGACAAGCAGCAGCACTTAGCAGACCTGGAAGCAGTTTTTAAAAATTTAGACGAACACAGGCTACTGACCAAGGGGTCCAAGTGCCCATTTTTTTTTCAGGACAGGCTAGAGTTTCTGGGGCACATTATTTCGGAGGCTGGGGTTGAGGTCGACCCAAAGAAGCTGGACACGGTAAAAGCGTGGCACCCCCCGACAAATATCACGGAGCTGCAGAGTTTTCTAGGGTTCGTTAATTACGTGCGTCGGTTCGTCCCCGACATGGCGAGGTTAACAGCCCCACTGACGGATCTGCTGCGGAAGGGGGTCACTTTTACGTGGGGGGAGAAAGAGCATGCTGCCTTCTCTGCCCTGAAAAATGTTCTCTGTTCACCGCCCGTACTACGCATCGCCGACCTACACCGCCCATTCGAAGTGGTTACAGACGCAAGCGACATCGCCATAGGAGCCGTACTGCTACAGGATTTCGGCAACGGTTTACAGCCCATCGCATACGAGTCACGCAAACTGCATCCGCCCGAGAAGAATTACCCGATACACGACCGCAAAATGCTCGCGATTGTGCACGCGTTCAAAGTGTGGCGCTGTTACTTGACCGGCGCAGACGTGACAGTACGGACAGACCACAAATCACTACAGTACCTTCGCGCACAGCCCCACCTCAACCCACGACAGATCCGCTGGCTCAATTTTCTCGAGTCAAACTTCCACTACACGGTCACCTACAAAAAAGGGGCATCGAACATCGCCGACGCACTGACCCGCCCCACTGCCCAAATCTACGCCATACTACTCGCCCAGACCAGCCCACTGCTAACAGGACTATTTACCCACGGCTATCAAACCGACCCGTTCTTCACAGGTGGAAATTCGCAGCAGTTCGCAGCAGCAAAGGGGGTTTATTACGTAAAAGCCGGCACCGACCGCATCTGGGTACCGGGCTACACGTTACTAAGGGAGCTGTTACTACAGGAGGCACACGCCGGGGTTACATCAGGACATTTCGGAGTAGAGAAAACACGGCAGCAGCTGCAGCGGTATTACTACTGGCCCGAAATGCTGACCGACGTACAACGACACGTGGCATCGTGTCCCACCTGCCAAATCATGAAGTCATCACGGAAACGACCGGCAAGGCAGTTGCAGTCGATACCACCCCCAGAGCGTGCTTGGCAGCAGGTGACGATGGACTTCGTCACGGGGTTACCGGCTGGAGCAAGTGGGAACGACGCGATCCTGATCGTCGTCGATCGGCTGACGAAAATGGCACACTTCGCAGCCTGCAAGAAATCAATCACAGCCGAAGAAACAGCCCGCCTCTTCATCTCCACCGTTGTTCGACTGCACGGGATACCAGCATCAATTATCAGCGACCGCGACACGAAATTCACCAGCAACTTCTGGCGAAACCTGTGGCAGCCGTTCGGCACGCGACTATAGTTCAGTTCTTCGTACCACCCCGAGACCGGCGGACAGACAGAACGGACAAACCAGACCATGGAGCAACTCATCCGAGCCACGTGCGACGACCCGACCACCTGGGAATAGCAACTGCCACTCATCGAATTCGCGTACAACAACTCGCCATCCGCCACAACCCAACAGTCACCGTTTTACCTGAATTACGGACAAGACCCCACAGTACCCATGACTCGGAATCCCGACAACCCGGTGCCACGCGCGCAACAGTTTGCAGAAATCTTACAAGCAGCACGAACCCGAGCAGCAGAGGCAATAAAAAAATCAAACGTCATCGCTAAGCGTAACGCCGACCGCCACCGCCGCCCCGTCACTTACCAACCAGACGACCTGGTATTACTCGACACTCAAAACCTCCGCCTACCCATCACTCCAAAACTCCGCCCCCGATGTTGCGGGCCATTTCGCATCAGCCACATGATCACACCCGTCACCGCCCATCTCCTCCTCCCTGCTGACTGGTACGTCAGCCCATCATTCCACGTCAGCCTGCTTCGCCCATACGTACCATCCACCAGCCAACTGCCTCGCAACCGCCCCGCCAGCATGACACGACCGCCGACAGAGCCAATCATCACGCCCGAAAAAATACTGAACCACCGAGTACGTGACCCACGGGGAGCCCGCAAAATCGAATTCCTGATCCGCTGGAAAGACCGCACGCCCACCGAAGACAACTGGGTCCCCCTGGATAGAATTGAGAATCACCCTGTCCTCACCGAGTACCTGCGCAGCCAAAACTTTCGAGATGTACACGAGCTCTCGTAAAGGCCTCCCTGGGGGGGGGGGGGGGGGGGTAGTGTAAGGAAAATTCCTTTTCCTTACTTCGCGCCCCTGCTTACCGCGTACATGGCCATTCCCGCCATCGGCACCCACAGTGAAAACGTTACCCGCTCGCAGCACTCGCCTCGGCCACGACTCCCGCCACTGTTCGCGATGCGACCCAACCTAACGGTTCGGTTGGTAACCCGCGCTCCGGACCTCCGCCTCGACAATTTCCCAAACCTCGGCGCTAGGCCCGAAGCGCACCCCAATTTCCCGCATTACCGTTACCACGCTAGCTTCGCTATATAACTTCGCTCATGCTTTTTCGCTCAACTGTATTGTTTTTGCTCCGATTGTGCAATTCTCGCTCGCTCACTCAATTGCACTCGTAACAATACACATGAAATGAGGAAGTGATACAGCGGGCAGGGATGGAAGAAAGCGAGCTGGTGAAGGTAGATCTGGAGAAGGTTGAGAGGAGTCGGGCCTGGATATGATTTAATGAGAGATGTTACATTGGTGCCCTCTAAGCACCATGCATGCATCAGGATAGTTACACTCTCGACAGTCACACTCTCACAAACAAGCGTCGTTCACGCTTCACGGATAAACCATGACCTGCCCCGAGTTACACCACAGCAGCAGGGGACAGAGGTGCGGAAGGCTCTTGCGGCCCCTCAGAAGTCGAGTCACGGCACAGCCGCAGGGGGGAGAGGTGCTGAAGGAGGGACAGGTGCACCAGCCATGCCACGCCCAGCAGCAGCAGCGTTCAGCATGGCAGACTGTTGCTGGAGCACAGGCGGCATGACTGCCTTGTCCCGGTTGCTGATGGCTGGTGCAGCAATGACGGGCAAAGGGTTGGGGTAGGATAAGGACCTTGGGTCAGAAATCATCGAATAGTAAATGAAACACCAAGATGATATGGAGGGGAGAAATTCATGAACACATGGGTGGGAACGACGTGAAGTGAAGTGGAGGGTTAATATCAAAATGGGGTACAGTCACGACTCACATAGAGGGGTGGAGGAGAGAACTCGGTAGACGGGAGAACGGCAGTAGTGAAGCAAGGGCAGAACGAGGAGTGAGACGGGAAAGGAAGGGGTTCAGGGCTGGGGGGCAAGCGGGGCACGCACGGTAATCGGCATAGACTGTAATCGCCCCTCTCACGTCTCCGCCCCCATGGCCAGTGCATGCGGCATCACGAAGAAGGGGTACTCTTACAGGCAAGCTGGCAAGCTGGAGAATACCAACCAAAGGCAGCAGGGCTGCTACTCACGTGTGACTTTAGGCAGGGGCGGATGCACGGTGATGGGCATGGACCACTCTCCCCTCTCTGTCTCTGCCCCCATGGCCAGCGCATGCGGCCTCTCATGCATCTGCTGCTGTGGCTGCTGCTGCTGCCTGTTCTTCCCCGCGCTGCCAGGGGTGCTGCTGGGTGGTGCTGGGCGCCTGGTGGACGCACAGAACTCAAACCGTAGGATCCACTGAAGAGAGGGAGGAAAGGGGGAGGAGGGAAGAGGGAGGAGAGAGGAGGGGAGTAGCGAAGAAAGAAGGGAGCGAGGGGCAATGAGGAGGGTGAACGGAGCAGGACTGCATGCATCTGCTGCTGCCTGGTGGCCGCCCGCACAGAACTCACACGGCAGGGTCCAGTGGCGAGGGGAGCAGGGGAGGAAGAGAGGTAGAGGGGCGGGAAGGGTGATGAGCAAGGTGTGTGGGACGGCGGTGTGGTGGAAGCGCAGAACTCAAAGGGGAAGATTCACAGCAGCACAAAGGGGGGAATGGTGAGATGATGGGGGGGAAATGTAGGGGAGGAGAGCCAAGGAAATGGGCACTGCTGCACTGTCCCCATATTGCTGTGGAGGTGCACTCCCAGAAATTGCTGCAGATGGACTCTCAGAGCATACCTGCAGTGAGATGATGGGCTACCTGGGACCCATGGGCTACCTGGGACCCATGGGCTACCTGGGACCCATGGGCTATGTACCTGCAGGGAGATGATGGGCGTGGCGAAGGAGGCAGCGGCATCGGAGGGGATGGTGAAGATGAAGTGCGTGTGGAGCAGATCCACCGTCACCTCGTGATGCTCCATCTGCAGCACCGGCAGGTGTAGGGGGGTCTGGGGGTGGGGAGGGGAAGGGAGGGGGGAAGGTAGGGCGGAATGAGGGGATGTGGTGGAAGGAGGGGTTGTGGCAGAGAGGCGAGGGAGAGATTGCAGGGGGATGGATGTATTGGGGGAGAGGGAATGAGGAGACCTGTGCTGACAGAAACAGTGAGATGAGGGGAGGGGAGAGCAAATAAGAAGATGAGAGGAGCATGTTTGAAGGAGGGGGAAGGTGCAAGGAGCTTGCACGAGGTTATGTGCTGGCGTGTGTATGCATGTGTGTGTGCATGCATGTGTGGTGCAAACACGTGTGTGATGCATGCATGCACGGCAAAGCACGGGTCACCCTAGCAGCAAAGGCAACAAATCACGGTGCAGTTTGAGGTGGTGCTATGCTTATGCCGAGATGTACGCATGTGTGGGTCCATACACACGTATGCATGCACAGCAAAGCGCGGGTTACCTTAGCAGCAGAGGCAGCGGCAACCACTGTCGTGGACAGGCACGGGGGTTGATGACCTCATGCATCCATGTGTGGGTTCATACGCATGTGTGAAGCATTCACACATAGGTGCACATGCGTGTGAAGCATTCACACATAGGTGCACATGCGTGTGAAGCATGCACACATAGGTGCACATGCTTGTGAAGCATGCACACATAGGTGCACATGCTTGTGAATCATGCACACATAGGTGCACATGCTTGTGAATCATGCACACATAGGTGCACATGTGTGTGAAGCATGCATGCATGCACAGCAGAGCACAGCTCACCTTAGCAGCAGAGGCAGCGGCAGCCACTCTCCTGGACGTGTGGAGGGCGCGGGGGTTGATCACCTCATGCATCTCCAATAGCACTGATACCTGGTGGGGGCGAGAAGCGAGAGGGAGAGGTGGAAGAAATAAACCCAACACAGTGGCAAACAAGGGTTCGAGACCTTGTGTGCCTCCTACGGGGGTTGATGACCCCGTGCATCTCCAGCAGCACTGACACCTGGTGGGGGGATGGCGCAGGGAAGAATGTACGTAGAGGGTTAAGGGCAGATGTCTTGGAAAAAATGGAGGGTTCAGGAGGAGCTAGAGATGTGCATGGGATGGGTGGTTGCTGGATGGACATGTGGGAGACGGAGAGAAGCAAAGTACCTGCTACCTGCTATAGGACCCATGCACATGCAAGAAATAATAGGCATGCGAATACAACATGGGTACATGCACACATGAACGCATGCTCACATGCACACATGCACCCATGAGCATATGCACACTCGTATGCCCACATGCACACACATGCTCATCTGCATGTGTGCATGCACACACAGAAAGGAGTGCGACGCACCTCAAGACATCGGCGTGGGCCGTCCTCAATGGGGAAGGAGAGAGTGCCAGACACCTGGTGGGAGAGAGGGGGGTGGGGGGTGGGGGAGGATGGAGGGTGGAGCAAGGCATGGAGGGGGGAAGGGGGAGAGGAGTCGTGGCACAATGTGAGAAGATGATAAGGTGATGGCTACGGTTAACAGCCGGTATGGTGCATGATGACATGCGATGGCGCATGATGACATGCGATGGCGCGTGATGACATGCGATGATGCATGATGACATGCGAAAGACATGCGATTGCACATGATGCCACTCACCCACTCTCACTACGGTTCCCACACACCCACACTCATCACACACCCACACTCATTACACACACAGCCCTTCTCCCACACTCACAACATCCCTCAGGTAGTAGACGGGCTGCGGGGTGAAGCGCACGAGCACATGGTCGTCTCTGCCCCCATGCATGTGCCCAATGTGCTTGTACCATGCACACCACATGCCACACACACAGCCCCCCAGGTAGCACTCACCACATCGCCCAGGTAGTAGACGGGCTGGGGGTTCCTGGGAGTGAAGCGCACGAGCACATGGTCGTCAATGCAATGTGCCCATGATGTGCTGCTTATCGGATGGATTAGTCCGCATTCCTCACACAGCCATGCACTATGCTCCCACCACATGCCACACACACAGCCCCTCACACCCACATCCCACACGTCCCCCCACACAGCCATGCAGCATGCTCACCACGTCCCCCAGGTAGTAGACGGGCTGTGGGTTCCTGGGGGTGAAGCGCACGAGCACATGGTCGTCTATGCGGATGTTGTATGTTCGCCCTCTCACCCCTGGCCCTAGCATGGGAGGGGAGGGAGGAGATGGAGAGGAGGGAGAGGAGGGAGGAGAGGGAGGGGAGGGAAGGGAGGGAGGGGAGCGGAGGGGAGGGAGGGGAGGGAGGGGAGGGAGGGAGGGAGGGGAGGGAGGGGAGAGATGTGGATGGGGGTGGCGGCACAGCCAATGGTGAATGCGGATGTTGTCTGTAGCGGCATCACCACACCTCTAGCCCGAAATGTCGGCGCGAAAGTCACCTCGCAGTGAAGAGGAGAAGGTGGACGAGGTGGCATAAGCACTTGTCAACAATGGACAGGTGGGCTGCAAAGGTAGTTCTTGAGACGTCTCAAAAACTCCCTTTTAACACCTCACAGTGAGGAGGAGATGGTAGACTAGGTGGCATAAGCAGAGCCTAGTAGGCTGAGCCCACACGGATGGAACGGGGGGGAGAGGGGAAACGAGGGGTGTGGGTGTGGAGGGGGAGAGGGGAAACGAGGGGTGTGGGTGTGGAGGGGGAGAGGGGAAACGAGGGGTGTGGGTGTGGAGGGGGAGAGGGGAAACGAGGGGTGTGGGTGTGGAGGGGGAGAGGGGAAACGAGGGGTGTGGGTGTGGAGGGGGAGAGGGGAAACGAGGGGTGTGGGTGTGGAGGGGGAGAGGGGAAACGAGGGGTGTGGGTGTGGAGGGGGAGAGGGGAAACGAGGGGTGTGGGTGTGGAGGGGGAGAGGGGAAACGAGGGGTGTGGGTGTGGAGGGGGAGAGGGGAAACGAGGGGTGTGGGTGTGGAGGGGGAGAGGGGAAACGAGGGGTGTGGGTCTGGAGGTGGAATCGGGTGAGTTGGTGTGAGGGGTGGGAGGGGTCTGGGAAGGCCTGGGGGGAAGTGTTGGAAAGAGGAGACTCACCTGGAGAGCGTGGAATGAACGGCCCTTCATCCTCCTCCGGCCGGTTCAGCAGCGACAGCGCCCCTCCCCTCCCCCCATCGCCCCCTCTCTCCCCCTCATACCCATTCCCCGCCCCCCCATACGCGCCAAACAACAGCCCTCCCCCCGCCTGCCCCCCCAGCTCTGACAGCGTGGGGCTATCCGGCTCTAAATCCAGCAGCGACGACGACCGCGCCCATGCCCCTCCCCCTGCGGCTCCCGCTCCCCCTCCCCCTCCCCCGCCCCCCCGGCCGTCAGCAGCAGAGGAAGAAAGAGACTCAGAGCTGCCTCCCCCTCCACCGTTTTCTGAGAACTGCTTGCCAGCAGTCATGGACTTGGAGCGACCGATGGGCTCGTTTGCCCCCGCCTGCTGCCCCCCGGTAGCACTACCCTCCTCTGTGGGCAGCGGGGCGGACCACAGGCGAGTCAGATGAGGACTCTGCAGGCCGTCAGAACCCCCAGCAGCAGCAGCAGCAGCAGCAGCAGCAGCAGCAGTGTCGGAACTGGTTCCTGCTGCCAGTGTTCCGGCCTCCCCCAGGCCAGCTGAGCCTGCCCCAGATACCACCTCCCCTCCGCCGACCTCTGTGACGGTAGCTGTGGCCGCCACAGGGCTGCCTGTGCGCCGCCCTGCCGCCCCTCCCACTGCTCCAGTGCTCTCAGCAGCAGCAGCTGCAGTGGTTGCGTCCTCCTCGTCCTCTTCTGCTGCTGGTGGTTCTGGTAATGGTGGGGGGGGCTGATGGGGAGGTGAAGTAGGGGGGTGGTGGGGAAGGAGGGATGAAGGGAGAGAGAAGGAGGTCAGCAGCAGTGGCAGCAGGTGCTTGTGTTGTGGTTTGTGTCAGCATCTTGCTCCCCAGATGCCACCTCCCTTCAGCCGACCTCTGTCACTGTAGCTGTGGCCGCCACAGGGCTGCCTGTGCCCCGCCCTGCCGCCCCGCACTGCCAGCAGCAGCAGCAGTTTCTGCACTGCCAGCAGCAGCAGCAGTTTCTGCACTGCCAGCAGCAGCAGCAGTTTCTGCACTGCCAGCAGCAGCAGCAGTTTCTGCACTGCCAGCAGCAGCAGCAGCAGTTTCTGCACTGCCAGCAGCAGCAGCAGTTTCTGCACTGCCAGCAGCAGCAGCAGTTTCTGCACTGCCAGCAGCAGCAGCAGTTTCTGCACTGCCAGCAGCAGCAGCAGCGGCGGCGGAGGTGGTGGGGCCTGATGGGGAGGTGAAGTAGGGGGGTGGTGGGAAGGAAGGAGGGGTGAGGGAGGAAGAGAGAAGGATTGGCAGCAGTTGCAGCAGCGGCAGCGGCTGCAGAGGCGGAGCCCTGTCCGTCCTCCTCTGCTAGTGGGGGGGGCTGAAGTAGGGGTGTGGTGAAGTCGGCATGGTGGGAAGGAAGGAGAGGGTAGGGAGGGAGAGAAAAGGATTGGCAGAAGCTGCGAGACGGAGGCCTGTGCGTCCCTCCTCTCAACTGGTGGTTCTGGTGGTGGTAAAAGGGCCTGACGTGGGGTGGGAGGGTGGTGGGAAGGAGGAAGGAGATAGGAGGTCAGCAGCAGTGATGGTGGGGCCTGATTGGGAGGTGGAGTAGGAGGATGGTGGTAAGGAGGGGGAAGAGAGGAAGAGAGAAGGAGGTCAGCAGCAATGGCAGCATATGTGTGTGTGTGTGTGTGCGTGCGTGCGTGCGTGCGTGCGTGCGTGCGTGCGTGCGTGCGTGCGTGCGTGCGTGCGTGCGTGCGTGTGATGAGCAGAGCACTTGGAGAGATTGTAGGGGTGCATGACGAGATGGCGTGTGTGTGTGTGTGTGATGACCGGGGGGGTGGGGAGAAAGGGGCCAGACGGGGGGAGTGATGAGCAGAACGGAGGGGGCAACAGAGGTGTGGAGAAGAGGCCTTCTTCAAGGGAGGGCGGCAGTGCGGGCCCTGCTGCCCCCCCCCCCCCCCCCTTTTTGACGATGTGAGGCCCTCGCTGCCTCATATCCCATCCTAAAAAACATGAAATTTTGTCCCTCTCTACCTCCAACCCCCCCCCCTTTGACGATGCCAGGCCCTCGCATCCCATTGCCACCCTTCCTACCCGTGCCGCCCAGCCTAACATGAGTGTCACCCAGCCTACCATGAGTGCCGCCCGGGACTTCCTCTCCCTCCACTGAATGTCCACCTCCACCGGCGCCATGGGCACTATGCCTGCGCGGGAATGTGAGAGAGAATGAGGGAGGAAGCGATGGAGGGAATGGGGAAGCGAGTGACGGAGGGAGTGAAGTAGTGAGGGAGTGAGGGTTTAGGGTGAGGTACGCGATGGAAAGAGGGGGTGAGGCATTGACGGGCACCTCCCATGGAGCTGTAGGCACCATGCCTTTACGGAAAATTATAGGGAGTGAGGGAGGTAGGGAGTTGTGTGAGAGAATGGGTAGGCGGGTGGGGGAGTGAGCGAGGAAGTGAGTGCGTGAGTGATGGTGTGCGGGATTAAGAATCGAGAGGTAGCTGGTCGAGAGAGGGGAAAGCAAGATGTGAGTCGTACCTCTCACACCATGGTGCTCATCAGAGTCTACTAGCTACTTCACTGTGAGCCCACTCGGGTGTATTCTGACTAGACTCGAATAACACTAGACGAGGGCAGATGCGATGGGAGTCGTTCGCACCACATCCAAATCCACCTCGTACCTCCCACGCCGTAGTGATCATCTGAGTCCAGCTCCTCCACTGTGAGCCCACTCAGGTTGGGTAGCGTCCAGATGCGCAACGGCACCCGCACCTCCTGAATGCGGGAGAAGGGCAAGGAATGGGCGGGAATGCGGGTGGATGGAGGCATGGAAGGGGGTCTGGTGAGAAAGCATCACCGAACAATGTGAGTCCACTCATGCGCAACGGTGCTCTCACCTCCTGGGGAAAGAGGATGAAGGAGGAGAGGGAGAAGGGTGGAGTGGATGGAAGCGTGGGTGACGAGGGCAATGATTATTGCAAGGAGGAAGAAGAGGAAAGTGGGGAGAAAAAACGGGTATTCAGGCCGGGCAGGCAGCATTGCCTTCCCTGCTCACCACAACAGACCCTTCCCTGAAGGGTTTTACGGTTTCTACTGATCGTTTTCCAGGAAAGAATTTCTGTTTCGTTTCTGTTTGTTGCTTGAAGCGTCACTCTTTGGAATTGCTGCTCTTCCACTATGAGCGACGACCCCGGGCAGGCTGCATTCCCTTCCCTGCTCACCACAACAGACGTCGCACCTCCCTGTCCGCCCTTCCCCCCTTTCCCCTTCCCCTGACCACCCGCCGCTGCTCCCCCTCTCCCCTCGTCCCCTCCCCCTCGCCCCTTCAGCGGAGTGGTATTCGCGCTCCCCCCTTGCCCCCTGTTCCCCTCGCCCTTCCCCGCCCCTCCTCCCCCCACTTCCCCCCCTAGCTGCCCCCCAGAGTGGGACCTCCGCGGAACGCCAGTGGAGGGGGAGGGGGAGGCGGAGTGGGAGGAGAGGAGGGCGGAGGAGGAGGAGTGGGCGGAGGTGAGGGGAGAGGGGGAGGGGGAGGCGGAGGGGGAGGGGGAGGGGAGGGGGCGCCACTTGACAATGACTGAGAGCTGGTAGTGAAAGCGCACGGCTGTTCCGCGGTAGGAGGGGGGCAGCACTCGCGGCAGCTGCGCTCTTATGGCGTCTGGGGAAGTGGTGAGGGGGATGGGGAAGGGAAGGGAAGGGGGAGGGGGAGGGGGAGGGGAATGGGGAAGGGGAGATGGAGGGGAAGGGTGGGGGGGGCACTTGACTATGAATGTGAGATGGTGGGAGGGAAAACTACCGTGGAACAGCGCAGTGCTGTTCCGCGGTAGGAGGGGGGAGCTGCGCTGGTGGTAGCTGCGCTCTTATGGCGTCTGGAAGAGAAGGGGGGGGGGGGGGGGGGGGGGGGGGGGGGCGAGAACGGGGAGGAGGAGATGGGAGGGGCGGAAGAGGGCGAGGGCGAGGCAGAGGCAAAAGACGAGGGGTAGCTTTGGGTAAGCGAACTCGCGGGGTGCAGTGCGGTTGGTTGTAAGGGGCTGACAAGAAGGGAGAGTGGGAGCAAGACATAAGCGGGCGACACAAGGGAGCAGAGCAGAGCGAAGTCAAAAAGGGAAAGAGGGGGCGGAGGCTGGTAGGGCACGGGCTAGGGCAAGGAGGGGGCGCGTACAGGTCTTGCTGGTGCCGGGTTGGATGGCCACGTTGGTGACGAGCGACGTGAGCTGCGACTCCAGAATCACCCTCTCGCCTGCCAGATCGGTGAGGAGCAGGCAGGGCATGGCGCGAGGGTTTGGGAAACGGGGCGCGGCGCGGAGGGCAAGGCTTTGGAGCAACTGGAGATGAGATGACAGGAATGGAGCTGCCACCCCCCCCCCCCCCCCCTCCCCCCTTTTCCACTCCCCCTCCTTTTCCACTCCCTCCCCTGCCACTCCGCCTGCCACTCCAGCATCACCCGCTTGCCTGCCAGTGGTGTTCCAGTGTGAAGCAGCGGATGGGGCAGCTGAGGGGCAATGCAGGGTGATGGGGTTGATGGGAGTGATGGGGGTGTACCCTCACATCCCTCCCTGTCTGCCAAATCCACCCTCGCACCTTCACTCCTTCACACCCTCATTCCTTCACGCCGCCCTCATACCCTCGCTCCCTTACTCACTCCGTCACACCTACTCACTCCGTCACACCCATCCCACCACTGATCCCTCCTCGCTCTTCTCTTTACGCCACCGCTTCTCCCTTCTCGCCGCCTCTCCTCCCCGCCCTTTGCAACACACCCCCCTGCTTGACTCCTTGGCACACACCTTTCCTCTCCCTCACCCGCTTTCTCCCATACACATCTGTCCACTCCCACCCACCTCTCCTCTCCCGCACCCACCATTCCTCTCCCTGCCCACCTTTGCTCTGCGCGCCGCTGCTGGATTTCGGCAGGACGATCCACGACGGGTCGAGCCGCTCCACGCCTTTAAGATCCACCACAAGATTCTCTATAAGCACACCCCCTACAGTGCCGAACTCGCCCTCGCTCGCCCGCCCAGCGCCCGCGCCGCTAAACGACGCGTTTTTCGTCAGCGACGGCGCGGATCCCACTCTGCCGCCCATCGCGCTGCTGCTGCTGCTGCTGCTCATGCTGTCGCGCCTCGGCGCGCGCTGCGGGATCGCCCAGGACGGCAATGCGATGCCGGCGGAGGCGGCGGCGGCGGAGAGCGGCGATGGCGACGGAGCGAAATTGTCGATGTCGATCGTCGCGATGACGGTTTCGCCCGGGCGATAGGCGGTTCGGGCGAATGCCACGTGGACTACTGGCGGAGGCTGCGATGGTGGCTGCTGTTGCGCTGTCATGATGACGAGACTGCTCTGAGGTACGTTATACTTGGTGGGAGTCGTCTCTAGTGCCCAAAGCTACCTAAGGAAGTTAGGGATTGCTATGGGTGGGGATATGTTCGAGTGATCGAAGTTTACCTCGATATGGAGTTACGCCGGAGGTAAGTTATACTTAGTGGGAGTTGTCTCTAGTGCCTAGAGTTACCTAAGGGCGGGGTCAGCGCGTTCGTTTTTCACGATTGTACAGTTAATCCGTCGTGGTGCAAAACAATTCCAATCGGTTTACAGCGGTTTCCAAGATCAACCGTTTTAGACCGTGACGAAACGAGAGTAACCGCTCAGGATGAACTGTACAATTGTGTTAAACGAACGCGCTGACCCCGCCCTAAAGGGAAAATAGGGCTAGGAATATGCTGGAGGACGCGTCACCTCCCAGAACTCGATCGTGTGCGCGATCCATGTGCCCAGGTACAGTTATTTTAGCGACGTCGCCAAATGCAGGTATCCTGTTGTCACCAGTTTTCGACAATTTACAGTAAACCGGTCGTGAGAATTTAGTCACCTCTGGCTCGCGCGATCGATGTGTCCCCCTCGCACAGATCGGGGAATTTTGCCCCATAAATCCCCAGAGGTGTCACCTGTGGCTCGTTTTTTCAAGGCGATCGCAGATTTGCATTTCGGAACTCGGCTGTGCCGAACCTTCTAGGTTCGGTGTGATCCCCGAGGCTCCCCAGACCTGCCAAATTTTCTATAGGTGACACGTCCTAATAAGTCATAACAGCACACTACTCACTTCGCTCACCATTTCACTCGTAACAAATGATTGGGCGAGATTCTTCGTCACTCGCGAGGCTCAGCCCTCTCACTGTGAACCACAGGTCGCCCACGGTGCCACAACAATACTGTTTGACGACGCACCTCTGTTCCGAGTATCGCGCCCTGATGCTGGGCAAAGGAAGTAACCTTGGGAGTATCATCGACTAAAGTCCCTGTCGTGCAGTCATGGTTCTTCATTCAACTCCAGTTAGTACTTCCCATAGTAACCTTAGAATCAAGTGTAGCCCTTATCATATTCAATACTTGCCAACGAAATCGCCGTTTAAGAGCGCCGAGTCGCTAATACCGTATCCAGTGGCGCTCGCTTGGGCGATAGTCTCGACGCTCCTCCTCCTCTGCTCGGTCTCAATCATAGCCGTTCAGCTTCCCCAACGATGCGCGCCGTGCGACTGCGATTTAGCGCTAAGAACCACAGACGGAAGCAGAAGCGGAGGCCGCATCGCAGCTCAGTCGTGCTCTGATTGGACATCAACCAGCAAAGCCACTCCAGTAGTGCAAAGCGACGGAGATAGCTCGTCGCCGCAAGTCAGTCCCGAGGATGCGTGGGCGTTTACGAAGGTACTACTAAGTGAACCCCAGGTCTGACAATGATCCTGGCAGATCTGCTTGGTGTCGAACGCCATGCTCCCCGCGTTCGTCCCCGCGTTCGTCCCGGCGTTCCCACCCCATGTCGACGCACGCCCACCCCAAAGTGTAACTCTCAAATGGACCCTCTCTCGGCCTATGGCGATATCATGTTGTCATAGGGCCCTGCACAAAGATATTCCATCTGGACATAGTAGCTTTTGAGTCGACTCAAAAGTCAACGCGATATCATGTAATCATAGGGTCCTGCACAAGCATATTCCATCTGGACATAGTAGCCACAATGGAATTCGAACGTACGTGCAATCATTCCACACAATGTCGCTCAACTGAGCATCTTCGGAATGATGCTTCCTCCTCGTCCCTCCCCCCCGCGCCTTGCCGACACCCACAATGCGCAGTGGACACCCCGCGTTTCTCCGTGTCTTGTAGCGGGGCTGCCTATAGAGGAGCTAGACGCGCACCTGAACTTCCGCCGCGGATGGACCCTGGGCTTCGTGGACGACGTGGAGGACAAGACGCAGATCTTACCGTTCCTCAGAGCCAACATGGATCCCACTTTGCACACGAGGTGCGTCGTGCGTTCTAAATTCAGTTACCGACAGACCTAAGAAAAGCTGTGAGTCCAACGATTTACAGACCTTCATTCTTCCACATATCCGCTCCTCCTTTTTCCATCTCCGCATTCTCAGGATGCACGTTTTACGAACTTCTGTAATATACAAGAACCTAAACATTTAGACAGAACGGTTCCTAGTAACTTACTTACTTCCGTAATCTGGTTTCGTAGGACTTGCGCATCCTGCTTGCTCTCGCAAACTAGTTGTGTGGATCATCATAAAAACCCGAAACCCCGGGCTTTTCCCCTCTCGTTCCTCGAAAATCCCGCGATTTCGCAGGAAGCGGAGGGTGTTTGTAGACCTCGGAGCCAATAAGTTTGATACAAGTGTCACCTGGTTTCTTCGAATGTACCCCCTCGATTTCACCGAGATTCATGCGGTGGAAGTGGAAGCCGACCTGTTTCAGAAGCCATCTACACCGCCGCTTGAGGTGAGTAAATTATTGCATTCATACACACATCTTGGAAAAGAAAGTTGTGAACAGCAGCTGAGGGGGCTGGGAAGGAGAGAATGCGGAGGCAGTCCGAGGGTTTTACTAAGTGGAAATTTACGCCATCAGCACATCACACTAGCATGTCCACACCAGCGCGCATCACTATTTCTAGTGTATGCACTTGCGGTTGGCCAGGCATACACGCTTGGCATGGATGGGACATGCCCTAGAAACCTGGGCATGCGTTAAAAACTAGAGGGAGGGGAGAGGGGGAAGGGTTGGAGAAGGTTTGGTGGGGGAAAGAAGAAAGAAATGTGTGTCAGTCACGTCTCCTTGATCCCATCGTCTCTTCCTTACATTCTGCGACGTTTCCCCCCTTCCCATTCTCCCCTCATTCTCCCCACCTGCCACTGAAAAATGTTTTCGTTCTCCCATATTCTTCTTTATTCCAAATCAGGTATTCGCCGCCATGACGCCATAACACCAGGATCCTTTGTTCATGCCACACGTACCCTTCCCAGCCACTCGTTACTGTTTCTGTGCCGCTCTTAACCGTTTCAGGTACCGGCCTATGAGATCAACTCGCACTCTCGCCTGCGTCCGTTCCACGGGGGCCCTGCAGGCTTCCCTGCGTGGCTGATGGACCGCGTTCACCCCTACAACTTCTTCATCTCTTCCCAGGACAACCACGAAGGGGTAACAAGAGCCAAAGTAGCTTAACATTTGTTACACCTAGTAAAAAAAGGGCAACAACATGTATTGACAGTGTGAACGGAGAAGGCACCCTTGCTGTGATGTGAGCATCAGGTAAAGGCACATCAGTTGAGCCCTGGAAGAGCCGTTCTGTTGTGGTGCCATAGGTGGAACTTGCTATAGGTGCAGCTGTAGGTGCCATGGGTGCCATGGGTGCCATGGGTGTGACTTGCTATGGTAAGAGCTTGATCATCTTCCCCATCCACGTCCGCCCGCCTGCCTCCCTAATGGGGTTTAGATACGTCTCAAACCTGGATTTGATTTGCTTATTCCCCTCCTGGTTCCTCCTTCCTCCCTTTCCTCCTCCGTTCCTAACTCCTCCTTCTCTTCCCCCTTTCCGAACTACTTGTTTTCCTCCCCTCCTCCTTCTCTGCCCGCCACCCCTTTCCCATCTTCCTCCTTCTCCCCCCCATTCCCCATCCCCCTCTTTTCCCTCCACAGAACACGGTGAACGTGACGCGGTGGCTGTTGGACGAGCTGCAGTTGACAGAGGACGACACGGTGATAGTGAAGATGGACATAGAGGGGGCGGAGTGGGCCGTGCTGCACGAGTGGCTCGCCATCCCTCACATGCCCGCCATCGTGGACGAGCTCTTTGTGGAGGTGCACTACCACCACCCCTCCATGGAGGGTCTCACGTGGACGGATAGGTTCAACCACACGCTTGACGACACCACACAACTGCTCACTGACCTGAGACGAGTTGGGTTCTACGTTCACCCGTGGCCGTAGATGAGGTTTGTCACTCAACCTTGGCCGTAGATGGGCGCTCTAGTAGTGAATGGAGAGACGATTGTGGGGTGGAGGTGTACTGTGGATAGGGCGATTGTGGGGTGGAGGTGTACTGTGGATAGGGCGATTGTGGGGTGGAGGTGTACTGTGGATAGGGCGATTGTGGGGTGGAGGTGTACTGGAGGTACAGTGGAAGGAGGTGAGTGGTGCATTAGTTGGGCACTAGAGGATGAGGCACTTCTATCTAGCCTTGGGTGTCTATAGTATGAATGCATGGGTGTATGATTTTTGGCATATACAAATTATCTGGACCTTCCTATCATGAATGTTTGGTTTTTCTCAGGGTAAATTATTGTTCCTATCATGTAGATGCAACACTTCACAAATAGTTGAACCCAACTGGATCATGAAGTGCTTACGAACGGATATCCTAGAGATTGTCTTGTTGTGAGCGAAACAAGCATGGAGAAAGCAAACATTCCCCGAGAATTCAAACTCACACTCCCCTAACAACCACTCCTGCACGAAGCAACTCCCTCCGAGCCCTGCCTGAAACCTTATCTGCCTCCACCTTCAAATACCGCAGCCTTGGCACGTTCCCCAGCAGCCCGCCAATGCCATCTGCAGTGACTCCACCGCACCCCACCACAGTCAACCGAGTCAGCACCTCCAGTTCACTCCCTGCAATCGCCCCGTCTGAGAACCCGTCACTGCCTTCCACCCGCAGATCCTCCAGTGTAGTACATGCACGCAGCAGCCTCACCAGATGCCTCTCCCTCAGCCCAGAGCAATTCAAGAGAGCCAAGCTCTTGAGCCTTCCAAACACAGCAGCCCGTGCTAGGGATTTGAAGGATACGGTCACAAGTATAAAGGGTACGGTCACTGCAAAGGGTGTTTTCACGCGATTGATAAAACGTTTCACGGAATCAGTCACTATTAACTAGTAAAGAATCACGCGAATGGTCATAGAAAAAACTCCCGCCAAAAATATAAAACCCCAAAAGAACCTGGATGCATTTTCGGATGAATCAACCCTTGCCAGGTGTTTAGGGTTGATCCGTTCCCAAACCGCATCCGATTTCGATTGGGTTTTAGTTTTTTTAGAAGTTAGCAGATTGGATGGGCGCGAGCAGGAATATTTAAGCGTTTCAAGTTTTTTTGGCGGGAGTTACATGCGTGACCATTCGCGTGATTTTTTACCTGTTGTTAGTGACTGAATCCGTGACCCCACTTACCAAACCCGTCAGAAAACCTGATACAGTGACCGTACGAGGCTCTGGAGACACTGCACGACTGAAAGGAGCACGACGGGACCACGGGGACGAGGAATGAAATGGGACAGGAGGAACGGGGGGAGACGGTAGGGGACCACGGACCAAGGGTGCAGGTGCTGGGTCAGGCAGGTCTCGCAGTCGCTGCTGCTCCGCCTCCTCTGGCGTCTGCTGCGACAGTACCTGCTCCTGGTGCTGCTCCTGCTGCTCCGGCTGTGGCTCCTCCTCTACCCTCTCCTGCTACGGCCTCAACTGCAACTGCACATGCGGTTGTGGCTCCTCCTCTACCCTCTCCTGCTGCGGCTGTAACTGCACCTGCTGCTGCGGCCGTAGGTCCTCCTCTACTCTCTCTTGTGACTCTAACTGAACCTGCTGCTTCGGGTGTGTCTCCTCTTCCAAGCTCTCCTGCTGTGGCTGCAACTGAACCTGCTGCTGCGGGTGAACCTGCTGCTGCGGGTGTGGCGCCTCCTCTACCCTCTCCTGCTGTTGCGGGTGTGGCTCGTCCTCTACTCTCGCAATCCTCTCCTTCTCCTCCCTCTCCAACTATCGACGACTCTGCTCACGCGTCTGGTAACGTACCCTAGGCTGTGCAGGTGCCGCTGAGGCAGCTCCAGGACCCCCAGAGCTAGTGCCTCCGCCAAAAACACCCTCAGGGCCTCCAGCATCGCTTGCAAGAACATCCCAGGCTCCACAGCGACCGACCGCAGAGACGAACGAGGAGGGAACTGCGTAACTGACGGGAAGTCAGGGGGTGAGGAAGGGCAAGGCCGCCAACTTGAGGCAGCAGTGTGTCAAACTATAATTGTTATAGTTTGTATTGTTTAGTCTAGGTGGTGTACAACTTTGTTAGTGCTAGGGTTAGGTTTGCTATATCTACCCTTGTACTTGCTCATCCTAGTCAATCCATTGTTCCGTTACCACGTTGACATGGTATAGAGCAGTTTGATTCTTATGGGCCCACCGCCCCGCGCTCACCCATTAGTGCCCCGTTACCCGTAGTGCCCCGCTCCCCCCCGTTGAGTCACGCGCTAGAGAGAGACCCCCGCGGGTCCCCCCACATCGCGACCTACGAAGCCCCCCCCCCCCCCCCCCCCCCCCCCCCCCCGAATCGCGCTTTAGAAGGCCCACCCGTCACCCGTTGCCTTAACCGCCGCCCCACCTGTTAATCGCTGTCCCATCCGCTGCCTTACCCGCCGCTCCACCTGTTACACGCCGCCCCACCTGAAACCCGCCGCCCCACGAGCTGAAACCCGCTACCCCACCTGAAACCCGCCGCCTTACCTAAAAACCGCCGCCCCACCCGTTCCCCGCCGCCCCCACGAGCTTAAACCCGCCGCCCCACCTGAAATCCGCCGCCCCACAAGCTGCCCCACCCGTTACCCGCTGCCCTACCTGTAGCCCACCGCCAAAACCCCCACCCCACCCTTTACCCGCTGCCCCACCCATTCCCCGCTGCCCCACGAGCTGAAACCCGCCGCCCCACAAGCTGCCCCACCCGCTACCTGCTGCCCCACCCGTTCCCCGCTGCCCCACGAGCTGAAAACCGCCGCCCCACCTGAAACCCACCGCCCCACGAGCTGAAATCTGCCACCCCACAAGCTAAACCCGCCGCCCCACCTGAAACCCGCTGCCCCACAAGCTGCCCCACCCGTTACCTGCAGATCCTCCAGTGTAGTACATGCACGCAGCAGCCTCACCAGATGCCTCTCCCTCAGCCAAGAGCAATTCAAGAGAGCCAAGCTCTTGAGCCTTCCAAACACAGCAGCTCGTGCCAGGGATTTGAAGGACTGTGGCTCGCTGCTCAGGCTTGGAACAGCATAGTGGGGGGAGGACGATGAAGAATGGTGAGGGAGGGGTATGGTGGGGGGAGAGGGGCACATGAGAGGTGAGGCAGAGGGGAGGGGGGAAGGCAGCCAGGAAGGGCCACTACCAGAGGCGAACTGAACGCTCTCGAGCGTAAGAGACTCCAGTGGAGGGCAAAACACTTCCACAGGCGTTGCGGGTGTGCTCGTATTTGAAACTATGCCTCGCTGTGGGGGCTTGTCAGTTGAGTTTCTGCCGCCCAGCTCTCCCAGACCTCCTCCCACCTCTGCCTCTGGCAGCTGCTGTGATGCTCCTTCTGCTTCTCTTTCTGCCGTAGCTGCCCCTTCTGCCGTAGCTGCTCCTTCTGCCACTGCTTCTTCTGCCACTGCCCCTCCTGCTGCTGATGCCCCTTCTGCTGCTGCCCCTTCTGCTGCTGCCCCTTCTGCCGCTGCCCCTGGTGCCGCTGCCCCTGGTGCAGCCGCGCCCGGTACCACTGCCCCAGGCACTAGTGGCGGAGCGTCCTCAAACGCATCACTTATCGCTAACATCTGCGCCAACAGCTGCTCCGTCAGCGCATGCAGCAGCCCGCGTGCCTCTGCTCGCGACACCGCCGCAATGGCCGGCCACCCACCCGACTCCTCCCCCAGCAGCGTCTCGCTCACCTCCGCCAGATCAGCCGGCAGGTCAGTCTCAGGGATGAAATTCACCAGCTCTTCCACCTCCATGCCTCCTCCCCCCTGCACCTCCCTCTCCCGGTCCTTCTCCTCTCTCGCAGGGTCCAGCACTGCAGTGAAGAACCCTGCTGCGTCAGCAGCCAAGCCGGCCTTTGCCAGTGCCTTCACGCGTGCCATCCTGCCGTCGACTTCGACCACGGCCACCTGCATGTACCGGCACAACGACATGGCCGCACGCACCTTGATAACCGCACTTCGGATGTTGATCAGGGCAAACTCCCTGTGCATGCGCGGAGTCTGCAGAGCTTCCTCGGCTGCTTTCTTGAGCTTCCACCGGGAGTTCTTCAGCAGGGCTCGTGAGTCATCCATTGCTGCGATGGTGTCAGCGTTTGCTGCCGTTGCTTCTGCCCGGATATCCACGTAGTAACGCCGGCACCTGTGGGCGGCAACCGGCGTGGCAACTACTGCTGCTTCTGCCGGTGTTGCTTCTGCTGCTGCTGCTGCTGCTTCTGCTGGTGTTTATGCTGCCCTTTGTTCCACGCGCACCAGAATTGCCACAAGGCACTCTAAAGACGGCTTCTGCGGCGACTCAGAGGGCATCACTCTCCCTCGCCTCCCCTCTTCCTTTCAACGTGAGACGCTTCAGACTGCTGCAGCGTGCAAGCATGCCCGGGCGGTACGAGGGCAACCCGGAGAGAGTGAGGGTGTGGAGGCAGGGGGAGGAATGGACGAGCAGAGTACGAAGGCCTTGGGCGGCGAAGAGAGGGTAGGATGTGGAGTGGAGGGAGAGGGAGGAGAGAGCAGGGTTGGCTTCAACCAGCGGTGCAAGGACGTGACTGGAGACCAGGGGGCAGTCGAGGATGGCAAGGTGGGTGAGCGTGTGGAGGGAGCGAGAGAGAGCATGAAGCTCACAGGAATCGATGCTGCAGGAGTGGAAGGCGAGAGAGGCGAGGCGAGGGAAGGCGGCGAGGGGAGAGAGAGCGGCTTCGAGCCAAGCGGAGTGGATGGTGAGGGAGGCGAGGGAACGGTGGAGAGGGGAGGAGGAGGAGGAGAGGGAGAAGAGGCCGAAGGCGTCGGGGCGCCAGAGGGTGGGGGAGGTGAGGGAGGAGCAGCGGGAGATCAAGCGGTAGTGCGAGGGCTCGTAGAGGAGCGTGAGTGAGCGCAGTGCGGGGAAGGCATCTACTGGGGGGGGCGGAGGGTCGTTGAAGTTGAAGGATTGGCGCTCGAGTGGCAATTCGAGCTCCAGTGACGTCATGAGGCTGACGGGATGGGGAGAGGAGGAAGGACAGGTGAAGGGGGGGCGGAAATGGACGGGGGGGAGGTGTGAACAGTGGAATGAAGGGAAGGCACACGATGCAGAGGGAGGGTCGCTGAAGGTGGGGGAGGGTAGCTGCGTTTGTAACAGTGGTTCAGAGTGGTTCAGGGCGTTTGCAAATGACGATGTGAAATAGAGATGGGAGGCGCAGTACTGAACGGCATTGAGGATGAGGGAAAGGCGGGGGAGAGAGTCTGACGAAGAGGAAAAAAACGAGGGGTGAGGAAGGGATTAGGAGAGATGGATGGGAGAGCGGGGTGTGAGTGGTGAAGCGGACAAAGGAAACGGGGCGTGCAAGAGTGCAAGGAAATGACGGGAGTTGGGCGGAATACAGCCGTAAAGCGCTTTGTTCGGCTTGGGCGTGAACCGAGAGACGTTCGCAATGAAAAAGCGAGCCGCACGATTCAGTGATGCAAAGGGATGAGAGAGACGAGACGAACAGCCCGTTGTGCAAACCGGGCTTGTGGAGAGTAACCGCACAGCTGCTAGAGAATGAAGGAGATGGGGAGAGTAATAAGGGCGCATTTGCGACAAACCATCCAAACCACACTTTCGAGCATTACCAGCCAGACCACACTTTGGGGAGGTCTTAAATGTTCTCACAAATCAATTCAGTCCCTTGTAACGCCTGCGGTTTTCACACAAAGGGTTGAAAAGCGAGTTACGCTCACTCACGGGCATTGCCACGCGAGATTCCTCCAAGCCGCCGCGTTTATCTGAAACCGGTCGCGCACCGACACGAGCTTCAAACTATCCAACTTCGGGCAGCCCGCGCCGATTCCCCCCAGCAGCTTGTGAAAATGAACGAGGAATGAAAAGACTAAGGGAAAGTTGGGTACAAGTACAAACCCTAGAAAGCTGTACCCCATATGTGCTACCCCACTATAGCCTACAGCCGCTAAGTCATATAAATCTGACACACCCCCATAGGCAAAGTGGGGGAGGACAAGGGGTCACAAGACCAGTCAAGCAAAGCAAAGCAAGCTCAGGGTGGATCACAACGTCACCACACATTCCGAGCACAAGTTCAAGGCCACAAGGCCAGTTCACATGCAGGATTACATATATATATAAGGCTAAACAAGCAAGAGCAGGTGTATATATATATGTAACAGTACAAACAAGGTCAAGGGGTGAGCAAGTGAGGCAAGGTAGGCACAAGACCCAGCTGAGTACAGAAGCGCTGATGATCACAAGGCGCAAGTGCCTTGGTGAAGATATCAGCAGTGTTGGCCTGAGAGGCCACGTACGCAAGGCGTAGCTGACCACGCTGCTGTAGCTCACGAGCAAGGAAGTAGCGAAGAGCAATGTGCTTCGTTCTGTGCTCCAGTCTCTGCTCCCGACACAAGGCCAGCATGGCCTTGTTGTCTACGTACAGCACTGGAGGAGAACGAGGCGGCTCTCCGAGGTCAGTCAGCAGGTAGGTGAGCCAGCGAAGCTCCTGTGCAGCCATGGCCCCTGCGTAGATCTCAGCCTCACAACTGGAGCCGAGAACAGAAGACGAGCGGGTAGCCCGCCACGAGACAGAGCCGGAACCAAGGCTGAAGGTGTAACCCTGTGACGACCGCTGCGTAGCCTGGTCGTCAGCCCAAGAAGCGTCTGCGTGCCCAGTGAGGACCACTGGACTCTGCCCTCCAAGCACAAGCCCCATGCCCGACGTACTGCACAAGTAGCGCAACACCCTCTTCGCTGCAGCCATGTGCTCCGGTCTGTGTCTCCCAGGAGCAACATAGCGTGCGAGAATGCTAAGAGGGTATGCAAGGTCAGGTCGAGTGCAGGTCATCAGGTACATGAGGCAGCCAACAAGCTCTGGGTACGGGCCACTCGACTCTACGGACTCATCCGAAGGCAGAGCTGAGAGCGAGTGGCGAGTAGGCAGAGGAGTGGCCTGAGGCGAGGAGTACGTGAAGCCGAAGCGCTGAAGGACCTGCTGCACCATGTGTGACTGAGTCAGGGTAATGGTGCGGCGTGCTCTGTCCCGGGTGATCTGCAAGCCAAGGTAGCTGCGCAGTTCACCCAGGTCTGTGCACGTGTGTCTCTTCTGCAGCTCGGACTTCACGTGGGCGAGTCCAGCAGTGTCAGCTGTGGCAAAGACCAAGTCGTCGACGTACACGAGGATGTAGAACGGCGGCAAAGAAGTGTCGGTGCGCAGAAACAGCGACGGGTCGGCAGTAGAGGGAGCAAACCCAAGAGCCGCAAGCGTAGTCCTCAGTGTGTCGTGCCACTCACGCGGTGCCTGGCGGAGACCGTAGACTGGCCGCCGGAGGCTCCACTGGGTGCCAGGAGGAAAAGTCCCAGTGAAGCCAAGTGGGCGGCGCAGCCAGATCTCCTCGTGCAGGCTGCCCTGCAAGAAAGCAGTGCTGAAGTCAAGAGAGTGTAGCTCGTAGTCACGGTGAGCAGCTATGTGCAGCAGTACCCGAAGAGTGGTCATCTTCGGGGTGGGAGAGAAGGGCTCAAAGTAGTCAACTCCCTGCCGCTGACTGAAGCCACGTAACGCGCCTTGAAGACAGGCGGAGAACCCGGCGGCCGCTTCATCCTGAAAATCCACATGCCACTGACGATGTTCGCCCCAGGCGGGGGAACCTCGTCAACGTAGGTGCCTGTGGACTTCCAGGAAGCCATCTCTGCGTCCATAGCTGCCTGCCACTGAGAGGAGTAGGGACCCTCTATCGCCTCCGCGTAAGAGCGCGGAGTCGGGATGTCAAGTGCATCCGGGTCTCCCTCAGGGGTAAGCAGTACGGACACGAGATGAGGTGAAGCAGCAGCCAAACACTGGAACTCCTCCTGTCTGTCCTCAAGGACGTCCGTGCCAAGGGCACACTCACCCCCGACGGACGGAGGACAGACAGACTCAGACGCAGCAACAAGACTAGCAGCGTAGTCTAGACGACAGCGAGCAGCAAAGTCGACGAGCTCAGCAACTAGGGCAGACGCAGCAGTGGACTCAAAGGAAGGGTCAGTGACAACAGTAGCAAGGAGACGCGTGACAGTCGGACTGGCAGCACAAAGGGAGTCCGACTCCGGGTCAGCAAGAGCAGGAAGAGAGGACTCAGGAGGAGAAGGCAAAGGGGCACGCAGAGGAGCAGTGGACGGACGGAGAGACATCCGGTGCGTGCCCGGCACAGGGGGAGGACGCTGACGCGAACCACGACCACCAGCGCGAGCAGCACGGACAGGCGACGCAGGACGAGACGCAGGCTCACGACGCTCAGCAAGACCTCCAGTAGGACCAGTGTAGGGAGAAGGAGCAGGCAGTGGGGAGGCCGGCTGTAACTGTAACTGTGACGGGACAGGCTGTGGACACTCTAAGGGAGGAGGAGGACCAGTAGAAGGCGGGAGACCAAGAACCTGCTCAAGAAGCGGAACGAAGTACGGCCGAGGCCGCGCAGCGACTCCAGACACAGCAGGGACAGCACCAGTACCCCCAGTGGTAGCACCAGCGCCAGCAGCACCTCCAGCTCCAGTACCCCCAGCAGCACCAGTAGCACCCCCAGCAGGACCGCCTCCAGTACCGCCAGCAGTACCCTCAGCGCCAACACCCTCAGCAGCTCCAGCTCCAGTCGTACCCGCAGGCCCAGCAGCTCCAGTACTCCCAGTACGAGCACCTCCGGGACCCGTGGCACCATCACCCTCAGCAGCCGAAGAACCTCCAGCTCCAGCAGCACGCCTCCAGCGCCGGGCAAACCACTCACGCACCTCCTGTGGAGAGAGTGGCTCCCGTCGAGACGGAGCACCCAGAGAACCTCCAGGCCCAGCACCACCAGACGCCACACGAGCAGGCCCAGCTCCCTCAGGCTCCGCACCCCCAGGCTCAGCACCTCCAGGAGTAGCACCCCCAGGCTCAGCACCCCCAGTCGTAGCACCCCCAGGCTCAGCACCCCCAGACTCAGCACCCCCAGGCTCAGCACCCCCAGTCGTAGCACCCTCAGGCTCAGCACCCCCAGGCTCAGCACCCCCAGGCGTAGCACCCACACACTCAGCACCCCCAGAGTCAGCACCCCCAGGCTCAGCACCCCCAGCAGCACCAGAGTCACCAGCGACCTCCACAGGCTCGACTGCGTCTACCTGGGACACACCTGAAGGGGCAGGACCCTGAGGGGGAAGGGGGTCTACCGGGGGGGGACCTGGCACAAGGAAGAGCGGAGGCGGGGGGAGGGACGGAGTGCGGTAGGGGAAGAGACGGTAGTAGGGGACCGACTCGTCAAACGTGACGTCCTGGGAGGACAAGACACGGCGAGAGGTGGGGTGGTAGAACTGCCACCCTGGCGCGTCAGGGGGGAAGCCAAGGAAGACGCAGGGAGCAGCACGAGGGGACAGCTTGTCCGCAGACAAGTCGCGGACAAACGCCCGAGATCCCCAGACACGGAACGCAGACGCATCGCCAACCTTCCCCGTCCACAGCATAGCTGGGGAGGTCTCCGGCATGGAGACCCTGGGGTGAAGGTTGATCTGATGCGCCGCGTACCGAACCGCAAACGGCCACAGAAAATGGGGGGCAGCCGCATGCATCATGGACGTACGGGCGACGTCCATGACCATGCCAATGCGGCGCTCAGCAATCCCATTTTGCTGTGGAGAGTCCGGAAGCGTGAAGGTCTGGCGGATGCCTCGTGCACGACAGTAGGCTCGCAGAAGGCCAGAGGAGAACTCTCCACCTCTGTCAGAGTGCAGACGCAGAACAGGAAAGTCCGAGCCGAAGCTCTGCCTGAGCTGGAGACGAGCTGCGCGGATCCAGTCGATCAACACCTCAGTGACATCACCCTTGCTGCGCAAGGGGAAGACTGTGGTGTAACGCGAGTAGTCGTCAACCACCAGCAGGAAGTAGCGCTCGTGACCCTGTCCACGGACGCGGGCCGGGCCCCACACGTCCATGTGAAGCGTCTGCAGCGGGGCCTCTGTCGGAGGAAACTGGGAGGAGTGAGGGGCAGCCCGCTGCCGCC